TTTTTTCCCGCAAGTACATTCTAAGCGCCAAGCCATTGGTGATTCGAAACCGTGATAAAGCAACAACAACAAAAAAAGGCGGCTTTCGGTGATTGAGATATGCAAAATACTTTTTTGTTGCCATTCGGTTGTTCCTCTTTCGCGTAGTAAAACTAAAACAAATATTCAAAAGGAGCCTGGCGTGGTCGTACATACAGTCTCTCTGGGAAGATATATGGGTCCTCAGGATGACAGGTCGCTGTTGTAAATGGATCGTGGCACATTGTTCGGCCGGTTCCTATATATTTTGGCTGGTTCGTCTTCCCCCTTTTTTAGAACTTGTATTTGGTGTCTGAGCAGTAGAGGTCTCTCCAATTTCAGTCGAATGGAAGCGCGTGATTTTCGTTTTTTGGCGCAGGCTCTCTTATGTCTTTTTTTTTTTTTGCAGCAAGCTTCGAAAGTTATTACAAGCTTGGAATCAGATTTCCTCCTTACTATAGACATACATTTAATGAGTTGTTATTTGTGATCTAATCATGTGAAACATTCGAATGCCGGAAAATAATCACGAATAAAATCTTTGCTCATGTTGCCTCAATAAAACCCTAAAAACATTTGCACTTGCAATATACGTTCCCCTAATTTTAGAATATAATTTATATATGGAACCTACAGAATTTAAAGTTTGAGAAATATTAGACATATTGTTCAGCATAAAGCCAGGTTCTCGAAAGTTATAAACTATTCGCCAACGAATTCTCAAGCTAGCCACAAAGGGTTTACATTTCAGCTACTTTCATTTCCCTGGCCGATTAAATGTACCCTGCAATCAATTCCGAGTGGTACATGTTAGTATTTATAAGGTAACTTATATCTATGACCTCTATGAGGGGCATGAACGTAACCTTTTTCTCAAGATTGGTATTCATTACATTGAATTCATATATGAAATATAAAGCTAAGTAGTTCGACGTTAGAAATTAACATCGTGCAGCGATTAATGGCAGCGAAGCTACTAGCCAGTGAGCTGCAGACTAGCAGTGCATCTGTAGTTTCAAAACTACATAGCTCATACTGACAATATTTTAGAGGAAAACATTACTTAAAGGAAGACGCAGGTCGAGTCAAGGGAGGGTGATGATTCCCACCGACGACGCAAGCAGTGGAGTTTCTAGTTTTCGTCTATTTTCCTGCATTGGTTCTTCTGTTTGGTTTGCTTTCAGTTTTTACGTTTTATTTATGGCGTTTCGGCTTCAGCGATCGTTAAGCCTACTACGCCTTACATTTTAGTAACAACAAAAGGCTGTTCATTGCTTTTAAAAGAAATAGAGCACGATTATTTCTGAGCTAAAGCTTTGTTTTTTAAGCAGGATATGGCATAAGTCATTCATGTCAGTGAGAGTGAAATTTCTAATCTGATTAACATAATTTTCTAAAGGGCGGCGGTGTTGATAAAAAAAGCAGTTCGATAGGACATATTTAAAACGCACCAGAGTGCACTTCGAGGTTTTTCTTTAAGGAAATAGCTCAATCAACATCCCCTACACGTGACCCAAAATCCACGAATACGATAATATGCGACATTTTCTGCAAATGATATTGCACCAGGCATTGCAAAATACATTTTTCTTGAATATATATTTATATAAACTAACATACCGCGCCGTTGCAAGGTGAAGCGCCCGCGAACATATCATTCATCTATCGAATCTGTGTATGTCTGCAAGAACAAGCGGGAATAACCAAGAATTACCACGCATGCTTCGTGCTACCCATAATTTTGTTACTTCACTTGTTGTCTGTCTTTCCTATGGACTTTAAGGAACGCCTTAAGACTATTTACAAGTAATGTAAGAATTAGTCTGAAATAAGAATCTTCTGAGCAGATATATCGATATATGATAAATATATAAAGCAATACGTAAAAAATGCCTGATAAGAAATACTGAAATACTTATTTAAATATTTACTCTCGCAGTCAAACTCGAGATTAAATAAACATTTAAATTGCAATATTAGACGCGCTATATTGACCACATAATAAAATAAGAGCGAAATTTGTAATTCATTTTTATTTACTCTAGTATCCTCAACCGGGGTTCTTAACGGCCGCGTGTTAATGTGTCAATAATGGGACAAGTATTAGACAGTTGCATTGGGTATGGCTTTATTTTCGACAAATATTGACAGTGGACTGTAGAGTGCACCCTACAAACGTAGAGGATACAAGGATTCGATAATATTTATATATTCGTTTATTCTCAAGGGGATATCACATTACACGGTGTAGTGGAGAATTAAACGCAGAAAACATTACAGGTAAAAACACACAAAAACCAAGGAATCATGGTTATAGAGGGAAGAAAAAGCAAAAATTATAATTTTTGAAGACACTTGAGTCAGGAATAATGCCAGATGGTATCTGGAGGGGGTTCCATTCTACAAAAAGTGCGAGGTATGAACGAATAAAAGTACTTATTAGTTTCACAAAGAAAACTGCTAACCTCGATCTTATAACGTACGCGAATCAGTATTTTCCTCCATGTCTCAATTTTGCAAATTTTCAAGTAGAAGGATAAAGCGAGGAGCACAGTGAACGAAAGCAATCTGCTAGAAATGGGCGCCTCAATTTGAAGAGGGCCGACGGGCGGAGCTACTCAAGTGCCCCGCTCACTTGTACTCATACACAAAGGCAATCGAAAACTGGCGTGAGCCTCCGCACCGTACAAGACATCCAATCTAACAAGTAAGCGAATGTCGAGCGATAATCGTAAAACGCCGAGTGACTGCTCCACTTACACGTGATCGAAAGCACTGCACAAAGCACTAGTCTCCATTTCGAAGCCGCAAAAAAAAGAGTGTCGTGTGTTGTACTACGTCGCGGTTACGCATGCCTCGCAGGCCAAGTGCGTCTCGAACACTAGCTCGGCCGTGTCTCCTCAAATCTGGCTCTCTTCCGTAATTTTATTTTGTATTTCATTTTTTTTCCGCCTGCGCATACTGTAAATAATAAACGAACGAGCATATTCGGCGGTCTTTCCTAAATTCTGTGTCCTTTCATTCCCCCGGCGGCTCATTAACCCTGCTTGCGCACTCGTTACGCGAAGGGGGCAACACAGACGCATGCCCGGGAGCGCTTGGCCCCAAAAGGACACTTAAGGTAACCAAGAAAAAAAAAAAAAATAGCAAAACAATACTAATGAAGTGCGCTTCCTCCTGTGTCGTGAATGAGACTGGTTTGGAATTACGTTTAGGCAAACTCATTGTCGAAAAACAAACCAATCTCGTGTTTTAGAGCTGCAGGGCTGCGCGGGGACTTTGCTGTCACGGTTGCCGAGAAAAGATGTAACTATGAGTGATAAATTGACTCAGCACGAAGGAATCGCGGGACAGTGCATGGTACGTTACAAGCAGCATCCAGAACTGTAAAAATGCGCTTCCTTTTGCCTGCCACTCTTAGAAATAGGGAGTGTATAGGGGTACACCCCTTGTCCCATAAGTAACACTCCACAGCTGCATTTAGACGTTCAGTGCACTGACATCGAGCTGGCGATACCAACATGTACGAGCGGCCTGATAGCTGTTAGATGTAACGTACTAAATAGCTAATGTGCGTATAAAAGACTAGAAAAAAAATGCACTGTCGTTTTGCAGCAGGGATAAAAAAATAGCCTTGATTGTCTTACTGTAGCCTTTAAAGCGTACATTAGCGAATTTATTAAGTCGTATCGGTCGACTCTCGACCCGCTCGCTAAACTTGGTATCGTCGGTTCAACGTCTGCGGACTGAACGTCGAATTGTTGTTTTGCGGTGTTACATATGGCAGAAGAGGTGAACCCTTATACACCTTCTAATTCTAAGAGTGTCTACCTCAAACGAGCGAACGTCGCCTTAGGCCCTGTTCTTAGATAATCGCTTAACTGCGCGAGTTCTAAGCTGAGATCTCGCGTACATACTCTCCGCGCAGTTTAAGAGGCGGACTTGAAACACAAGGCAGTTCCCGGCATTTGTAATAACAGGAAAGGTTCTAACTTTTGCGCCGTTTACTGTGCACCGCCAACGACTTTTCATGATTGTGTGTGTGAGGTTTGTGTAGCGTACCTGCCTCCACATGTAAAGTATCACGAAACAAATTGCGCCTTGTCCGTCCAATTTATCAATCCAAAAAATCTTCAAATTACCTCTTCGAAAAATAGGCGATGACTTTTTATTATCTTAATGGAACTAACTATTATCTGGGCAAGGTATTGAAGTGCCGTCTGGTCAATGATTGAAGCCCAGTCCAACATACCGCTTTGTGCCATGAAGCACACAATAGACGGCTAAGATGTAGCAGGTAATTGATGTGACTAGCCCATAAGTAGAGCCATAAATATGTGCTAAGAATGCGAGAGTGTGGACCCAGATAATCAGGGACGTCATAAAACACCACCAATACATGACACGAATTTAAAACCGTCGGCAGTTTTTACGGCTGCCATCGTCACTGCCTATCGCGAAGTTGAATTGTCTTGTGCTTGGACAATACGCAAGGCTTGATTATCGATTGTAAAATATTTTTCCCATACGAAATTTGCATAATATCCTAGGGAGTCCGTATACTCCCAGATGCTACCAACCATGCCCCAGAAACTGTCAACGGGTTTGCAGAGGAACACCAATGTCAGTCTCTATCGTCAGCTTTCAACCTGTCTTCCTTATGGGTGTTGATTCTTTCTCGGTTGCAAACTTGAGTCTGAGCATAGAAAATGACCTCTTAACTTGAGGTAAAAATAAATAAAGGCTGATCTCTAGTCTGCTCGTTCGTGAAACGAAATGCCTCTGAATAGTAAGGGCCACCTTGCGACCGTTGGCTTGTAGCTCTAAGCGGCGGTACAGCCGCTGAGGGGTTATACGTTGTTTCAAATGAAACTGAGTGGCAAATTATTGTCGATAATTTGCATATTGGTTATGAATAAGACCCGCAGGCCAAAGCACACCGATAGGAACTAATCACATAAGAGGAAGGGAGAGAGGTTAACATGGGTGATTGTCCCGGTTGGCTACTCTGTGCGTGGGAAAGGGGACGGGAAGTGAAAGAAAACTTTGAAAGAGCAGGGGAAGGACACATTTAAATGGGTAGAAGTTACGAATCGTCGACAGTATAGACACGGCACTGTTCACGAACACAGAGCTTCGTTTTCTATAAGTGGGAGCTCAGTCCTGTTTCCTTTGGGAAGCCAACAAGAACTTTTATGTGTTTTACGCTTTATGTGACAAGTCCCAGGCGGGAAGTACTTTTGGCATAAAGAAGGGTCAATTATGCAGGCATGCAGCGCACACGGATACGCTATTACTGACGTCTATTTACGAAACAACGAACCAGGTGTCGGAGAAACAGGTGGTTCGAAAACTTCCGGCATTCATTATACTTTGTCTATGTGAACCCTTACGGGGTATCCTTCCGCAGGTTGAATTTCGAGCAGGAGAACATTTACTCCAACCTCTCAGTGGCTCAGCTCCTTTTATAAATTAAGATGAGATCATACATATGTACTTTACCAGAGGCGTACTTTACCGGACCATGTTAAACATTGCCACACAGGTTTTTTTTGTCGACGTCCTTATTTCCCAGGAAAGGCAGATTGAAACCTTTTGCACATCCTTGGTCTATCCAATAGAAATCTATTTTTCTCGTGTAACATTTGTTTTAAAGACCTTTTTTTTTGTTCTGGTTTAGATTTTTACGGGGTAGGGGAAGTGTGCGTGTAAAGGTGGGGGGGGGGGGGGGGGCGGGGGGGAGAGAGATCTCGGAAACCTTCTCGAGCTTCATACGGGAAAGCGCGCCAACTCCAAGGTGTTTAACTCTGCTTTTTGCCATATAAGTGTAGTAAAGAATTTAAATGTCACTAAATGAACTGGCTATATAACTTCATATCTCATACATATAGGGGGATGATTAGTTCAGTTCGCATGATACCGCAAGAACTACACCGATATTCTCAAAGCCGGAAAAATATAGTTCAAATCATACAGTAGATGTCAAGATGGCATAATAAATATAACTTCGGCCCAGCAACGCGTTTCGTAGATGACAATTTATTTCAAACGTTGTCTTTTACAGTTACAATATGCCCTTAGTTTGACCATAGTCTTGTATACATTTTATAGCTCTGAGTGCACTGCTTCTGCTAACGCATATCTCGCTTTCTCTTTGACAGTGGTGAGGGACTCAACGAAGCTGCCGGTGATCATGTTCATTCACGGGGAGTCCTACGAGTGGAACTCGGGTAGCGCCTACGACGGAACGGTGCTGTCCAGCTACGGCAGCGTGGTTGTCGTCACTATCAACTACAGGCTCGGCATCCTCGGTAAGATGCCTCTCGTCAAAAACGGTACACGAGGTCGATGTGGCCGAAAGGGTGCCCACCACCTATACCTAGATTGCTGATAAAGTGGAAATAAGCAAGCTAGATGGCGATAACTGTATAATGAAGTTAAGGGACAAAGTTAAGATGGTGTGACCGCTTTTTTGTCGTCTATTATTCCTAGCTTTGGGTTTTCCATATGGACCTAAATTGCGGTCGTTCGCCATCGTGAAAAGAATATCGCAACAGAGATAATAATTTTTTTCTCCGAAATGCTGTGGGCCGACAGGAGCCGAAGTAGAAGAGTTTCTCACGCGTAAGTTAATAAAATTTAAAAAAACAAATTGCTTTCATTCGATGACAATTTCCTGAGTGGAACAGAACACGCGTCAGCCTTGAACCTACACCAGCCAAAACACTAGTACATGATCGGGGCCACATCGCGTCTGCGGAGAAGCCCTCCACATTTTAGCTGGAGAGGAACAATGGGGACCAAAAATGGGTAGTTTACGATAGAAGCCTTCGCATGCTGCAGAAAGAATACCAATGCATCCAGGTGTTATTTTGAGATATATGCCAGAATGATGACTTCCGTGTCACAAGCTTCGCAATAGTTTCAACACACGCTACGCTCCCATGAAGTCAGTCCAACAGCACCCAAAAGGGAATTTTCACGTCGCTCATCACATTTATGCGTTTAACATAACGGAAAAAAACAATTCGGCATAGCGAATGCCCCACGATCTTGCGCTTGTCTCTAAGCCTGATCGCTTTAGGCGATTATAGAAAACCCGCAAAGAAAGCGAGCGCCACGATTTGGGGTGCCACTCAAATTAAATCGAAGCATAGGAACTTTAATGCAGTCATCAATGGTTATGGGAAAATAAAAATTCCTGCCCAGATTAGTACGACGGCGGGCGCAGATGCTCGAGGATTGGAGTGTTGACACGAGTAGTGCGCATCCACGTCGACGGAAGACAAGGGCTCCGCGGCAGTGCTGATTCGCAGACTTCTAAGGTAAGATCGGTGAACCGAAACAAAACTAGATTTACGGCGCTAATGAACAGATATCACGTGTGGGCTTCACTCAGTGAACTTAGCCTGACATTTGGGCCCCGCTTGTGGCAGTCGCAATAGCATTGGGAAGTTCAGGTACCCTGGACAGCTGAATATGATTACCTTTGAAAATAACTCCTTTTCGGGAATTCTAGCCACAATTACAAACATCTATTGCCATTCTGTTAGCTAAAACTTTAAATGTGTACAGCGTACAGCTGTCGAATATCAGATAGAGAAAAACATTTCATATCAAGCCTTACCTTTGACCATTTCAGACTGTTTTAGTAGGGCCTCGAAAATTCTGGTCTGCAGAATGTGTACATGAATTACGTGCTGTAAGCAGAGTATACAATGTCTCGTAATTTTGGCCGGGAGTGTATCGCGCGTGCGCGGGAGCGGTGAACGTGCGTTTTGTAATTGCACTAAGCTAAAACACAGACATAAGTGACGAATTGCCAAATACGGCAAGAAAATAACAGAACACAAATTGGTCAATACCGTTGCTGCCGACACGCTGAGTCTGGAAGAAATGCCTTAGCATATCGCGTAGCGGTTATGTATAAGAAAGCAGGATGAATGCAGCTTCTCAGCTCTCTTCCGCGTGAAGGACATTTCCGAAGCCCCTCTTTGGCCTGGTGCACGCGCATAAGGTCACAGCGTGTCTATGGAGGACGCGTGCGCGATGCCCGGAAAACGGCGGAGCCATATCGTTGTTTTGCGTACATGTTCTACATACAGGGGCTGCGACATCGTGCGTTTACGGCCCAGAGCAATGGAAAATACGACTGCGGGCGAAGAACGGCGTTGCAGGCCGAAGAATCGAATCGCAGCCCGTGTGCGTCCACAATTCTTCCAAACCAGCGGCAGGAGCTTCTGAGGGCGTCGTTATGGCGGCTCGCTGAGCGTGCAGGTCTCTCTGGGGTGCCATGGCTAAACCGCAGGAGTACGGCATACTTCGGGAACAACTTCGGAGTCAAGAAGTCGAGCATCAAACTTAACGACAGGTTTATTTCATACCGAAATTTTCAGATCGAAGACGACCGTCCCTCAAACTGTCGAGGTTTTTTGACACCTGAGGGAGAGGAGGAGTCAGTGGGTGACTTTGCGAACTTTGGTAACTCCAAACGAGTCCAAGATCACCGCATGTTCCAGGGCACTAATGCAAACGCGTTGAAACAGCCTAGTCACAAATCTTGCACCATGACTCTAGGAAGGAGTGTGACAAGCGAGCGTGAAACATGGTAGGGCTGTCGTCCGTTTTTGCTTAGGATAAAAAAAAAAATGAACCGAAGAGCGGAAGTCGGAAGCACAGCCAGCGCTGCCAAAAATGCTGCCAAGCCTCAAAGTACGGCGGTCACAGCTGTTCTGCAATAGCCGCCCGCGCCGAGGAGAGGAAGGGGGACACGACATTCATTATCACCTAATCTCGACCAGGCGGTCCTACACGGCGTCCTCTCCTTCAACACCCGGACAAAAACGAACCGCCTTCACTCGGCGACGCCTGCATTCCCGCCGTCGCCGCAGTCCCAAACAAACAGGCAGAGCGCACCAAAACGACGCCGTTACAGAGACCAGCGACGAAGTGCTCCCGCCGAGATTTGATCTACCAACTGGCCGCGGGTCCGCCACGGAGCGGGCTGTGCGGCTCCCCCTCCGGCCGGAAGCTGTTCGGATGGAGCGCCTTTCGCCGCCGGCCCCACCGCAACCCGTTGATTTAGGGCGGGCGAGAATCGTAAACCTTGCCACCCATTTCTCTTGGGCTCGCCCTCTGCTTCGTTCTTTTTTTTTCTATATTTCTTTTTCTTTTCTTATTCTTTTCCCCACTTTTGCAATACCGCTGCAAATCCCTGATTTGCGGTTGCGGGAAAAGCTACGCGATGTAACCGTTGGAGGCGGATATCCAGTGGGGACTAAGATTTAAAGTTTCAGAGTACTTTTGTTTTAGTTCTTTATCATTTTTATTCGCAGGAGCGTTAAAATCGTGGCGGAGGTGGAGACTAGTTTTGACTACTTGCCTTACGACCGCGCAGGAGGCGAGAACTTGGGACTGCATGATTTTGTTTGATCGTTGTGGGTCGTAAAACGTATACTCTGTTTCACCTTGATGGTGAACCGCGCCGGAAACCACGAGCTATCCCAGCCAGTCCAACGCTGCGACAGTATGGCGTAGGTACGTGCCTCGCACCTCGCTGTGATTCTGTCTAAAGTCACGTGATCCTCACACGGCATTGCACTCTCTTTGAGGGCTGGCAGAGTCCACTGCGAACGTTTATATGATGAAGCGGAGTATAGTGCCCGGCGAAACAGCAATACGATTTTGAAACAGAAGAGTTCCGTCTCTCGCCAGTTCTGCTCGAGACGGTGGTCGGGTGCCTGTTAAAGGAAGATATGCGCATTGAATCAAAAATACAAAGGAAGTTTCAACGACCATTACGGCGTGGAGACAGATGGGAGAATCGAAAGCAGGAAGATTTTTCGTTTTCTGGTAGTCTTTCCTTCTCTTCAAATTACTGCTTAAATTGATGTATTACAACCCGTTGGCCTGTACCCAGTCTTCGACCAAGGTTTGACAGCATTCTAGTGTAGACTTTTTTTTTTACTGAGAATCTACTGTAGAGAGAGAAAATCCACAAAAATGAAAAACAATGGTCTAATTGTTTACTCAAACATATATACTTGTGTTGATTTCCTTAGTATTTAGCATAAAAGTTAGCATTCACGGATGTAAAGATGTGAATGGACATGTTCACATATGACTGGAACTACTGTTATACTTTGTGCGAATATTTTTTTATTGCCCTTATGGGGCTTTTCGTATTGTCAAAATCAGAAGCAAGAGCTCGGGTAAACTCCAGGTTGAGTAATTTGTTGTACACGTTTCTACCTACGAGTAACTAAATACCTGTACTCGTTACTCTATTAAAAAGTAACAAAAGTACGTCACTCGTTTGTCATTTCTACAAGTAACTACGTCGTTACTTTGTCGCCAAAATTTAACTAGAATCAAACACAGCGCTACACCTGACGTGTTACGTAAAAGTGTGGATAGAGAGGTGATGGCGCTGCCTTTATCGTATTGATTCCAAGGCGCGTCCGGTTTAGTAAAAGAAAAGTTATGCTTGAAGTAAGGATGCCCAAAAACCTAATGTAAAAAGTCGTTCCCGTGGCGTTTTAATGTGATTTATTTTTTTGATTCTTTAAACACGATACTATACATATTTTTCGATCTCCCCTGCGTCAGAAACTCCCCGAATCATTATCGCCGACCTCATCGGTTGATCCCAAGCCGCTTCAGTATCTCCCGAGCAGCGGAGGCGTGAAAAGTGGATGCGCCGAAGTTACTATCGCTTTTCACGCAGAGCATCACTAACACCTACCGGAAGTGCGATGTTTGATTTGAGATGTTATGAAGTTTAAGCAAGCAACACGCAAAATGATAGATCTCACAGTTTCGCTTTCAACCAAAGCGCTGTTGCGATTTCGCTATATGTTATAAAGGATTGAATAATGACACTCGCGAATAAGAATAGATATGCAGCTAGCTATGTTGTGTCATTATATTTCGTAATAGGGAAGGCGGTCAGCTGGATGCTCATATCTTGCGATTGAGCAGGAATGCCTGTCGTTGAAATCAAATTTTATAAAATCGTCAGCATCGTTGAGTATGATGAGCGGTTACATTGAATTTTGTTTGGAGACTCTTGAAATAATATAAAACATTAGTACACACGATTGCTTTAAGAATAGATTCAACAAGCAAATGTCAAGTATAGACTTAGGCGCCTCTTCAGTGTGAGAATTCGTATCTATAGGAAATGTTAGAAGCAGACTGAGCTTATTAGTATTATGGCCAGTTTCGGAGACATTGCAACGAGAGTATGTCACTCCGATTGGAAGCTTGGGACATCTAGCAGATTGTGCGCATCATGTGTAGCGGCCGACGG